GAAAAACACTGCCTTAGAGGGAACCCCCAACCAGTGATTTTTAAGATGAAGGTTTAGGAGCCAAGTTCGCTTTCCCGATGAAGAAGATCAAAGCCGAAAGGTTTGCAGCAGAAACAAACCACACACAGAAAAATGGACACGAGTGTGTAATTTATATATAGATATAGATATATATTTATATTTCAATCAAAACACAATTAAATATGGTTTAAGTACTTGAATACTTGGGTATCAGACAATAAGGTGGTACACAGTACCAAAAAACCTATACACAGCTTGTTCTGCTTCTGGCAGGCTGGCAAATGCTGCCTCGCTCCAGCTGATCCCGCAAAATGGGGTTTGTTTAGTCCATTACGGGGGTGCCGGGGGTGCCCAGGGAGGGTAGCACCTCTGGTGGAGGGGCCTGCCGTGCCCTTTCAAGGGCTGCTTGTTCACCTCTGGTCCCCACCTGGCGCTCAAACTGCTGGAGACAGATCAAAAGCTTTCCTACAGGTGTTTTGGATTACGGGTCCTTTTTTATTTTTATTTTATTTTTTTTGCACAAGTCTTCAGAAAACAAACGCCAATAAGAACGTAAAAAACCCTCCGAATGAACAAAAAGGAAAAAAAAAAGTTGCTTCAACAGAAAAGAACGCAGAAGGGAAAAACCAACCAACCAGCACAACGGAGTGGACCTTGTCTTGACCTTGAGTGGGCTCTCTGGTAAGATTACTTGCATGTGGCAAGCGCTGGAGATCAGAGGAAGCTTTAGGCTTGTGTGGAGAGGGGGGGGGGGAAAAGGCAAGCAATCCCCAAATGTTGCACTAAAGGATAAGGAAAAAGGGCCAGTGCTTGAACATGGAGCAATTCAGCAAAAACTGAACAGGGGCAGAGTCGTCGTTTCAGCTTAACGGTGGCACTTGCAAAGCAAAAGAAACAGGAGACACACAAAAGTTCATTGCTTTCTTTTTGCATTTTCCCGGACCGCGGACGTGTTCTGCGGAATCCAGGTGTGGAGTCGAGCCTTTCAGAAAGCAAGAGGCAGAAGGGAACTGAAGTGGAAGTCCTAGGTCAGCTGGAAACGGCTCGTCCCCCACTTCCTCTCCTTTCTGGACTGGCCCACACAGGAGAGGAGGAATACTTCACAAAAGGACATTTCAAAGTGGCTCCAGGATTTTAAGACTGCTCCCTGTCAACTGCGAAGCCTTCTCCGACAGGGTGAAGGTGCCCTGTGCCTTTCTGATTGCAGATGTTCTTTAAAAAGAAAAGTTTTTAAAAAAATCACAGCGAGGAACCCTAAGGGGCAAACTTCTACCTTCATTCCTAACCCAGACTGTCCTCCAGTTCCAAGTGGTGAAGCCAAACAATCCTTTGCAGAAGGAGCTGGGCTGTTCCTTCACAGGTTAAATTTGCTCTCGAGGTGGGAAGACGAGCCTTTTTCCCCCACAAGTGGGGAAAAACACACCAGCTGAGTGGGGTTCGTGGTGCTGAGCTTCCGTCTGAGGAGGCGGCGGTGGCGGCCACGAGAAAGGGAGGAGAGAGTCCAGCTCCGCTTCTCTTCGCAGGAGCCCCCGAAGATCATAGCTGAGGGAAAGGGGAAAAAGGGGCTGGTTAGGAAGCAGGAAGGGGGGCAGGCCTTCCACCTGCAACACGCAGCTTCCCGAGCCCTTTCTCAGTGGGCCCCTTGGGGTGGAAAGTGGACTCCCCCCCCCTTTTGCAAACTCCTATTCCAGACAACTAGCAAGCACCACCCTTCTTCCAACGGAAAACTGCATTGAAATCTACTTGCTTTGGCACTGGAGAGCTCACCACGGGATTCCCATCGCGCAGGGCCCTGGTTTATGTGGCTGGCTTGTTGCTTTAGACTTGTGGCACGTGGATATTGCCAACTGCCTGAATAGGGACGTTACGACAAGTGGCAAAAGCCTGTTAGGTAAATAACAAGCAGTGTGGTCCCCCCCCACCCCCCCAAGGAGGAAGGAAGGAAGAGAGGAGGCATCTGCCCCAATGCTCCTCTCACCAAGAGCACAGGGAGGCCCTCCCCACTGCCCTTAGATTGATCCTGGAGACCCACGAGGGGCAGATTATGGGGCTGACTCTGAGCAACGTATCTGAAAGATCCTGAAAACAGATTTTCTCCAGGATGGTCACTTCACGCAGTCCATCCATGTAGTAAAAATACAGGAGGGGTTTATCACTGCCTTCTCCTGCACAGTATGACCTTCATGCCTTTGCTATTGTCATCTGACTCTGGCATCTTCCGATCTCGCTGCTGCCCCATATAGGCTGGCAGCTGGATGGCCTTCGTGACTTGGGTGACCCTGCGGGGAATATACCCTCTTGACACACACGCCTGGTGTTCTTTGCTCGCTCCTCCCAGGAGCACACGCACGTACCACGCTGAGGCAGCAGAGTCATTCTGCTGGGAAGAATGCAACTCCCATTTTACTGAGCACATTCTATGGCAGCGTTTCTCAACCTTGGCAACTTGAAGATGTGTGGACTTCAACTCCCAGAATTCCCCAGCAGGCAAGGCTGGCTGGGGAATTCTGGGAGTTAAAGTCCACACATCTTCAAGCTGTCAAGGTTGAGAAACACTGTTCTAGCCTAAAGGATTTAAATATTCTTTTAAAACTGAGTAGAGGATCCTTCCACACCCTGGCACTCCTTGAGTATATTAAGGCAAACACTTGGTGCATGCACACCTTGGTCGTGAGCACCCAGAGTTCGGTTTAAGATGGGTGGCCATATAAGTGTTTTAAATAAATACATAAATAAAAATGTTCCTGCCTTTTTCCTCTCAGTTTCTCCAGAGGCTGCCATGGGGGCCTGAATGGCGTAAGAGTCTCTATAATGAGGGCCCCTTTCAAAGAGGGAAGCTGGTTGGCTTGGGTGGAGGACCAGGTGTGATGGAATGGAATTATGAAGGCCAGGCTCAGGGAGATAAACATTTTCTTAGCTCGCCAGAACCGCATAGGAGGAACAAGAGGAA